ATAAAATTTTGTGAAGACTTAAAATATTTGTTAGTAAATTTAATTTGATCGAGCAAGTCATTTTGTATACCAACAGGTCAAACTTTTTTATGTCGTAGTGGGCTGAAACCTATGTTATCATCCCCCCTCCCCCATATTCCAAAAAAAAATTTAATTAATAAAATTAAAATAATAATATAAAGCATTGAACCGTTATTTATGTCTGGGTGCATCCATCAAACACGGAGGCCCATTTCTAAGTTCACTTAAAAACCCCGTCGACGTTCCGGACGAAGCGTGACTTGGAAAGTTTATTAATTATATCCAACACGCCTCTTTTTAATCTCTAATACATCATTTTAAAAAAAAAATATATTATATGACGCAGTCACAACTTAATGCGGAAGGAAATATAAAAGTGACGTTGCAGATTGATTACGAGGCTCCCGTAAAGAGAACGTATTTGAAATGATGACTTTTTTAAAATTTGTTCAAATTTTTTAAATTAAATATTTGACCAAAACGATGTGATTGCGTTTTTTTTTTAAATTATGGTTTACTTTTAGTACTATTTAACCCCACCACTTGGTTAGTTGGTTGTTTGTTGTTTGTTTAATTATTTGAAAGCTTTGTTGTGATGCAGCAGATCACATATACTTATTTAACAGTGATGTGATTTTTTTTGATGTTCAATCTTATAATATGTTACAAGATAAGCATTCTTATATAGAAATAAAACTAACTTATCGTGTACACATTTATTTTTCACAGTTAAGGGGCAGATATTTTCATTTTGAGCGCTGCGCTTGCATTTTGGGCACTAATTTGTCAATATTAGGCCGTTAAAGCAGATAAACCTCAATTATATTTTCACAATGAAATGTTCATCTTGTTTTTAGCTGCAGTTACCACATGTGTATGTTGGGTTAAAATGAAAGACTTTTTGAAATGCATTTCACTCAAAGCTGGATATTCTTCATCAATTGCTCTCAAGTTTTTTACTCATGAAATTATTCCACTTGTCAGTCTGGCCAGCAGCTGTAACAGGCAGGGGATGAGCTGTAGATGAAAGTTCATTTTTTCAGGCCCACCTGAGTAAAAATGACCTCCAAAGAAAATAGTGTAAAATGTAAATGATTTTTTGTGTTAATTTTTTAAATCATTGAATGAGAATTATTATCAACGTAGTAATGACCACGGTATTTAAGAAATGAATAATTGTATTGAAATCAATTACTAGTTGAGTTTTATTTTTATTTATAAAAAATTTAATTACCTCACTCATGGTTAACTATCCATTTTTTTTTCTTAATATAAATTATTTATTGTGAAGAAGAATAAAGAAGTCAAGAAAGAAATTGCGTTGGTCATCTTTAATTTCTGTTTTGTTTTAAAATATGCCAAGGTAAATTTCATACAGGTAGCAATACAGGAAGTCAGGTTTCAAACAACCCATACACTTTAATTGCCATTAAGTTAAAATTTAATTAAATATTTAACTTATTGCTAAAGAAATATAGGTAAAGATAGGTGCATATATATATGTATATATATATATATATATGCATACATATCTAGCAATAATATCATTTTTTTAACCTTAAAATTAAGATGAAAATTATTGAGCCATGATACTTTATAATGCATTTTAGTATCTAATACATATTAAATATTTTCTAGACATTTAGGCAATATGGGTAGGTAAAACCTGTGACAGAAAACTGGTATGGTAGACTGGCTTACATATTATTCTTTATTAGAGACCGACCGAATGGGATTTTCTGACAACGGCCGAAACCGAAACCAACCCGAAAAAAAAATGACTTTCGGCCAAAGCCCATGCATATTTGGTATCTTCGAAAACTTAGCCTGTTTCGACCGAAGAAATTACGCCGATATTGATCAAATGGCTACTTTCGGCGCCTAACCCGAAATTCGATCGGCCTCTAATTCGTATGCAGCAAACTGAGAGCAAAGAAATTAAAATTATTTTTCCATTCTTCAAGATATGTTTTTATAGATGGTAGTAATATGTAGAGAACGACTGATGGACATGGGGAAGTCTTCTAGCAATGTCAGCTGACCCTCTAGGAAAGCTGTCCGGGATTAGATCGTGAGCTCCTTATTCTTTAGTTGTTTGACTATAGTACAGTCTTCGTTCCGACTCTAAAATTTTAATGTGTTCAGATTTATATTTATTGAGCTCTGCCACCTGTTTGTCCATTTCTTGTATGTATTTGTCACGCCAAAACTGAGAATCTGAAATACAATTTTATATAAATTAAAAGCTAATATCTTAGAAAGTATTAAAGCCTTTTTCTTATTCAGTTAACAATTATACAAACATTAAATGGCCACTAAAGTGATTCAATATTTTCGTTTAGGAGTCAAGTAAGAAGAAGAAATTGATTCGTGAACTTCTTAGTGGACACCAAAGAATTGTTACTGTAGATTTGTGAAGAAAGCAACAATAAGACCAATATGGCGTTTCATTTGTACAATTAAATTTTTAGCGTTCCTTACTTTTGGGTGGTCGTCTGCTGCTGAGGTTAATGATTTGCGGCTTTAATTGAATGACAGATTGGGAGAGGGAGTCGGTGTGATAGAGGAGATTTGATGAAGGTGTGCATGTGATTTGGGGGGCACGATTGATGGGATGAAGTTCACGGAATGGCGTACGGTGATGTGCGGAGAAACCATCATATCATTTATACCTAATTAGTCTTGTTTTTAAGACGGTGCTTAACAAATAGTTATTTATTAAATAGTCCAATAATTACGTCAACGATTTTTACGCAATTTTTAACCCTCCCCCTGTCAACAACTGTCAAACATTCAATGACCCCCCCCCCTATTTAATTATGTCAACATTTTATAGCCCCCCCCCCCTCAATACACACACACACACTTGCAATGAATTATAATCTAAATAAATGTGTAAACAGACTTTACTTTGCTTTGCACTGATGTAAATTAATGACACAAAATTGTGGGCAAATCATTTTATTACATCTTTACCCTGTTAATCAACAAGTTAAAAAGTTGTTACACTTGCAGCATGCAGAATCAATTAAAAGTTTGCTGAAGACTTCATATCATTGTTTGTGGGATTTTAAATATGATTATTGTCAATATAGCTGACAATTATTGTATAGTTTCTAGCTGCTATCATTTTCCCATGTACAATTGACATCCATGAACCTCATTTGGGTAGGGCATGGGGGCATTTGTCACAACCCTGAATTTTCAGGTTTAATTTCATTTGCTATGTACTGTAACGCCTCCAGTAATAAACATCTTAACAAGCCAACCAAGTTTTGGTTTTGCCCCCCTCCCACCCCTGAAAAACCTCTGATATGACGCCCTGGTGGGCATAGTCTTTAGTAGCTGATTTTATTGATATACCAGACAAGTCAACATCATCCTCATCTAACCATTCAGCACTTAAAATAGAAGCATTGTCGGTGTGAGCAATAATTGCCTTAAGTTCTTTGTTGGGTAGCAGATCTTTTCTTATGCCCAAGAGGGCATTGTCGGTGCTGTTGAACATGCTTTTTCAACATGACTTGTGATGCAAAATAGATATCACAGATTTTGCAAATCCGTTCAAGCAGCGATGTTATTATTGTTACTCACTTTACTTTCCCCTAATTCTCAAAATATCGTACTCCTACTCTATCAATATCATTTATTTTGACTGCATATGACACTTGAACCTTGTCCTTGTTCCATACCTGCAACATGATCGCAAACACACCACCCTAGTCATTTGCCACGAACAGAATCTACAGGCAAAGAGAGGCCAACTTTTGACTTCTCTTGCACTAGCAAAGTGTGCTAACATTCTAACAAGCCATCTGCAGTGCACAGACATACACACAATACATAAATCTTATTCTGTTAAAATTACACTCAATAATTTTTTTTTAAATAATGTAATAATCAGTCAAATTTTAATATTTAAATTGGAATAGAGAAAACATGATAGTTGACGTCAACTAATCTTAACCCCCTAACTCCCCCTTGTCAACAACTGTCAAACATTTCCAAACCCCCTCCCCCCCCCCATATTTTGTTGACATAACAACAACAACCAACAGTGGCAACAACAACAACAACAGCAACAAAGACATTTATGGCAGGAATTAAAATAAAATTCAATTACCTTGTTTTGCGTCTTTGGCTAGAGTTGAATCACTATTGCCCATGACTGATCTTTTGTTTTATTTTATTTATTAATGAACAACTCTGAAAGGCAAAGTTTGACACCATCCTTAAAACTATTTAATAGCTGCAAACAAGTTCGTGGTAAACTCAAAATATTTTGTTTTAAAACATGTAAATGTAGTGTTCGGGTATTTCAAAACTTGTGTATGAGAAATATCGATGGCTGTCTCAAAAAAAAAAAAAAAAAAAAGGCTTTTTTTAATGTATAAAAGTAAACTCAAAATATTTTGTTTTAAAACATGTAAATGTAGTGTTCGGGTATTTCAAAACTTGTGTATGAGAAATATCGATGGCTGTCTCAAAAAAAAAAAAAAGGCTTTTTTTAATGTATAAAAATATGAAAATAAATTTAGCTGCAATTCGCTAATAAATATTTAGAGTAATGGTCATTGGTGTCGTCTGTAAATAACGCGCAGTTTGTACTGTCTGACACGTCAGTCTTTTTGTTCGTTTGTAGTTCTTTTGATTAATATAATATTTTTAAACAAAAATGTATTCTTAACTGAACAGAAAATTTTAAGGGTTGATATAATAGTTATCAACAGCAAACTATAATTTAAACAATAACAAACAAACAAATATTATTTGACTTTACCTTCCTGTGTGCGTGTAAAAGAAAATGAGGTCACTTTATGCCGCTAGCGCTATTTATACTGATCTCTCGAGATGTCTGTCGAGCGTCGACCAGAGATTCAAGGCGATGGTGACGGTGAAGTGACGGTGGAGTGGTGGAACTGGCATGCGCACACACACAAACACGGTATATATTTTATTCCCTCGCATTTCTTACCAACCACTGCCCCAGGCAGGTTGGAACTTAAAATTTAGTCATCTGATGGTCTTTCGCTTAAAGTAGGTACTTTTACTTAACAGACTTTGTTGTTGTTTTTGTTGTTGTTTTTTTTACCTCTATAGAGAATGTTGTAAAGGTATCGCTTGTTTCAGTTTACGAGTAGGCCTGTGTGTAAGACAGACCATTTACAGCTAAGTTGTTCAGTTCTATAAATTTAAAATTAATCTCAGTAATTTTCCAAGGCATTCTATCTAACAAATAGGTTACATTCTTTTCGATATTCAGATCGTTTCTGCACCGCAAATATTACTGTAAAGCTACTTTAATAATTTAAGAACAAATGTCGGAGTGTAATTTTTAGAATTTGACATATGGCGCCCTTGGAGTATATGTAATCAGTAAGGGTGCCAGAATTGTAACCGTGGAACCACTGCCGTAGTGTTAAACAAAAAATGCAAAGTAGAACAAATAATCTAATGATTAAATTTGAAATGTATTTGAAAAATTAACTCCCCCCTCCCACCCCCCACCCCCCCCCCACACATATACAACTCACTTGTTTGCGTCCTTCCGTTCTACTTCTGTAGGTAAATAATTTGGAAATGACGCTGCTATGCTGTGTGTACAATCCATTGTAAATTGTTTTTATTTTTTCTAAATTTACAAACAGGAAAAAATGGTATTTCAAGTTGTCGTCAATTATTTCAAATCCTCTTTTTATGGTAAGTCAAAACAATAATCAGTCGCCGCGGGTTAATGACATAAACTATATGTGGCAGTAAAAAGTGTATGGTGTTATTTTCATAATAATATGTGATCTACAATTAAAGACGTTTTGGCTAAAACAAGCCTCCATCGCTTTCAACAAATCACAAAGCAAGTACATTTTTTTTGTTTAAAAAATTAGGGTGGCATATCCACACAAACCCCCCCCCCACCCCCCCCCCCCCCCCCAAAAAAAAAAAAAAAATTAAAATATCTGTGGCACATGCCATTCGAACTGAAGCGGATACATTAAAAGCTTGTTTGTTTGTTTGTTTGTTTTAACCTGTTTCAGAATGTTAAATGAAATGGGCTGGTCCCCAAAATGTTTACAAAATGGATTATTAATTTTAATCTTTTATAGTATAAATTTTTTTATTGAATTGGATCTTTAGCGACGTGCCTTATTTCAACAGAGCCCTGAATTTCAAAGTTAATTGATCAAGCTGTAGGAGTTTTGTTTTTTTTCCTACCGGGTATATTGGTTACTGTATAAAAGTTTTTTTTTTAAAGATTATTTTTCTTCTTAGTACTATCAAAAAGAAACGATTTATCGACAAACCAGGATGCTCAATACGTAGTTGAATTATCAACTACCCAGGATGTCAACAAAGAGGCTGATCCGCCAGGTATTTTCATATGCTTCTTTTTGCTTTATCCTTTTCAATCCCAGGTGCAGCATCAGGCCACTAACAACATCTTTACGCGCCTTCGTGTCACTAGCAATCTTTTCTACCTCTTTCCAGCAGGTATTTGGGTTTTGTAATAAGAAATAAAAACACGTGTGTAAGTCACTGAGCGCCATCTAGTTAACATTATAGGACCTTTGCAAACAGTCATAACACAAGTGAGTTACTGGTCTGCACCAGGTGCGCTCAATGTCTGCCTGTCGCTTGGGGTTCAAACGGGAAATAAATGAAGTTTTTTACACTGGGTCGGGATATTTTGAGAAAATACCTGGTAGGCCCAAGTGTTTCAAAAAAAAAAGAAGTTAGCTTCTCATTTTCTGTTATATATGTTGGCCTTTAAAATAAGCCTACAGACAGTCCTACAGACAGTCCTACAGACAGTCCTACAGACAGTCCTACAGACAGTCCTACAGACAGTCCTACAGACAGTCCTACAGACAGTCCTACAGACAGTCCTACAGACAGTCCTACAGACAGTCCTACAGACAGTCCTACAGACAGTCCTACAGACAGTCCTACAGACAGTCCTACAGACAGTCCTACAGACAGTCCTACAGACAGTCCTACCTGTGGATCTTTCTTGATTAATTTAATAGTCGCCTCACACTAAAGAAAACAAATTACCTGATTTCACACGTCACCCATGACAGCCTTTTTTTCATTTAGAGTTCTATTAATATAAAAGATGTGGAGTTTTGCGGTAGGGGAGGTTTTGAAGAATAAGCAGGACACACCAGAAGCAAAATATTTATACGAAATTTTGATTTCAAGAGCAAATGTAGACCTTAATTCGTTGGAATATTTTAAGAAGCTTAAAATGTGTTGTTTTCCCCCACCCTGAATTGAATTATAGCACTATTTATGAGAGGAAAATCAACGTTTGCTTAATTATTATGTTTATTTAATACACAGATAGAGATAAATATGGTTATACATTAAGTTATTACAACAATAGCATAAAGATGTAGTTTGTTGGTTGTTTTTTAAATGTTTTCTCCCCAAAACTAGCAGTGAAACAGAACACGTATGAACTAGAGGAAATCAGAAAGAAAGAAGAACTGCTCGAAGCCCTCAAAGCAGAAGTGAATCCAAAATTGTATGAATTGGAACTGGAAGTTCATGAGATGGTCATGGAGCATATCAGGAGGAAAAAAAAGAAGAAGAAAGTAAGTAGTTAACAAGATATATTAAATAATTATATATAATTATTGATTGACTATAATTGACGGGACCTTGGTTCAGATGTTTCAAACCAGAGACGGGAAGAAAATCTAAAATTATAAATAGCTATCCAGGATCCATTAAAATAAACAAAAAACTTCTAGCCTTTTAATTAACATTGAAATTAAGCACCATGTCTAAGAAAAAACGAAAAAAAACAACAAAAAGCTTCTGTACAAAAAATAGTGATTGATTAATGGGTCTCCTATAAAAACACATCTACAATAACTTTTTAAGACCATTCGTTCCCCGATGGAATCCCGATCCCGGTGGGATCCGAATTGGAACCTGTTTCCCGTTAGGATACCTATTTCCGATGTCATCCTTTTTCCCGGTTGGATCCAAATCCCGGTTGGATCCCGATCATTTTGGGTTCCTGATCCCTTGTGATCCCGTTTCCGGTGAACCCGCGATCCCGTTTGGAAAATCGTTCTCTTAGGGATCCCGTGTCAAGGTGGGATTCCGTGTCAAGGTGGGATCCCGTTTCAAGGTGGGATCCCGTTTCCCGATTGGATCCAGATCCCGGTTTGATCCGTTACCCGGTGGTATCGCGTTACAGGTGGGTTCCGGCTTACTGTTGGATCTCGTTTTCCATTTGGATACCGGGGTAAGATTATGAAGGATGTGCTTAGAGAAAACCCGAATGAAAATAGAAATGAATAGAAATAACATAGCATTTCATTAAGCCTTGGATCCCATTATAATATATCCCCGTAGAGCAATATAGAACTTTCTGGAACATTCTAGATGAAATTTAATAACCTCCTCGAAAAAGTTGTAAAAAAAAAATACTTTTCTACATAATTATTTTTGAATACGAAAAAATTGTACAACTAAAATGCCCTACTATAACAAAAGTACATTTTGATTTGAAAGAGGGGCCCCGCGGGGGGTGGGGGGCAGTTCCATAGTTTTACCGATTTCATTTTGCCTGAGATGGGGGGGGGGGGGGTTATAGAAATCGGTCAGAAAAAATAGGGAGTTAAAATTTAAACGCTGTCCGATTGAAATCGGTTTTAAAATGCCATAGATATAGTTTTTTTTTTTTTTAAATAATCAAACTTTCTGGAAAATTCTAGATCGGCCCTGAATGGATCGGATATTACGATGACAACACGTTATATCAAATTTTAACCCACCCTCCAACCCATGGGCACCCGCACAAAACTTTCTAGGGGAGGGGGGCAAAAAAATCGATGAACTTTCTAGGGGGGGG